AACCCCCCCTAAAAAAAAAAAAAAAACAACAAAAAAACAAAACCATCACAAGCACCACAGTTAGGATTTGAAGGCAGCCATACAGAAATTTAATGTTAAAAATTCCTACCTCCAACCTGGAATATCTAAAGGGGGAAGGAAGGAAAAATCCCAGCTCACCCTCCATTTGTAAGAATATTTGGAGAMTAGGAAGTGCAGCCCCCAGGACCACCCACACCCAGCTGATGACACTCAGAATTAGGGCTGATAAGAGGATTCAGCTGGGGAGAACATGAGTCCCATCCCAAAAAGGCTCTGCTKGTGCCCCTGAGAGGAACAGGACGTCCCCCCACCACATGACAGCTAAAATCCCAGTATTGAAAAGAAACATGAACCRAGATTAGTCTTGACATTTCTGGGTCTTGTAATCACAGTGGGTGACAAAAGCAAATTCTGGATCAGAGCTTTTTCCCTGAGCAATTTAAACACATCTATTTTAAGGGAAGACTGAGTTAAACAAAGGGGTGACAGCCCGAAAGTTGAAAGCCACGGGATGTGGMGTGCTGGGATTAAGTGATAATCAGGCAGTCCAAGCAGTCTCCAAGATASATCTGTTTTTGGGAAATCAGGGTGAAAAAGCTCTGCCACTGCTCCATCCATGAATCCCTGTCCCCACCATGCCACAGAAAGGCACTGCTGGCCAAAATCACTTGACCCCCTCACGGGGTGAAGGCTCAATTCAGGAGGAGAAAATAATRAGGCAGGAAGCGAAAATTAAACCATTTCAGTGGAAAATGGAAGGGAATGGTTTTTGCATTCATCTGCCTACGCTGGCATCTTGTCAAAGGGCTTTTATGGGGAAACCACAGCTGGAACCAGGGACTCTGGTGGGGGAAAAGCTGTATTTTTCCTACTTGAGGCTCAGTGCCTCCTGTGAGATATCCCACAGCAACAGGAGATGGGTTTGAGGTGAAATTTGAACTTTTGGTGCGCTTCCCCATCAGATCTGTCCATGCTTCCCYGAGCAGCCAGTCCAGCCGTGTTGGCAGAGATGTGAGCTCATGGTGCAGGGAGGTTTTGAGTTTTCCAGCCTCACTGGATCCCTGCACACTCCAGGCACCGATGGCACTGACCACTGCTGGAGCCTGAGCCAGGAGAAATCGTGACACCACTGAAGGGACAACCCTCCTGCCTCAGTGGGCAGGACACAGCCACTTCCAGATGCTTCTGGCTGGTTCCACGTGGCTCCAACAGCCCCATGGCAGGGCATGGCTGAGCCCATCAGTGATGCTGGGGAAGTCTATTGAAGAATTTATGGAATTTATAMGATTATAAGAAACTGGGAAATATTTATAGTCTAAAGAATTTATCATTTAAGAATGTATTTTCCTCTGGGGGAATGTTTTTAGGAAAGGGAAAAATGCAGAGGGGGGAAAAATGTGATAGAAGGTCYTGAGAGCAGCCTGGCTGGGGGAAGAAGGAGGAGAGGGAGAGGAGATCCAGGTGCTGGATTGCTCCCCAGAAGCCCTGGACAGAGCAGACACCCAAGCCTGGGACTCACATGAATTAGCAATACATTTATTATATATTTTTTTTACTTAAATCCAGCCTGTTTTGCCCATATAATTTATCGGTGAATGATCACCCTGCCTTTA